GGGGGCCTCATGGGGACCTCTTGGGGGTATCTTTGGGGCCTCAGGGAGGCGTCGTGGTGCCTCCTGGGGACCTCTTGTGGGCCATCTGGGGACCTCTTGGGGCCATATGGTGGACCTCTGGGGGCCCTCTTGGGGGGCTTGTATGAGCGCTGCCCCTCCTCCTGGTGTGATTCGTTCGGGCTCCTCGTGGTGTGAGTCGTTCGAGGCCCGCGTCGTGGTGTGAGTCGTTCGGGCTCCTCGTGGTGTGAATGGGTCGGGCGCCTCGTCCTGGTGTGAGTCGTTCGAGGCCCGCGTCGTGGTGTGGGTCGTTCGGGCTCCTCGTGGTGTGAATGGGTCGGGCCCCTCGTCCTGGTATGAGTCGTTCGGGCTCCTCCTTGTGGTGTGAGTCGTTCGGGCTCTTCGTGGTGTGAGTCGTTCGGGCCTCTCGTCCTGGTGTGAGTAGTTCGGGTCCCCCCTCCTGGTCAGAGTCGTTCGGGCCCCTCCTCGATGTGTGAGTCGTTCGGCGAGGGGCCCGAACGACTCACACAAGGAAGGGCCCGAACGACTCACACCAGGGCGAGGGGCCCCAACGACGCACACCACATGCATTCTGGTCCAGGACGTCGCCGTCGTGTGAGTCGACAGAGCCGGTTACGTGTAAGACTCGAGGACGACGCCTTCTGTCTTGCCTCCCATCGCCTTCTCTCCCTCCTCCTCTTCCTCCTCTTCGGCTCCTAGTCGTAGTAGTAGAAGTAGTACCAGTAGGATCAGTTGTAGTACTGGTAGAGGTAGTAGCAGTAGTAGTACTAGTAGTAGTAGTAGTAGTAGTAGTAGTAGTAGTAGTAGTAGTAGTAGTAGTCGTCGTCGTCGTCGTCGTCGTCGTCGTCGTCGTCGTCGTCGTCGTCGTCGTAGTAGAAGTACTAAAAGTAGTAGTAGTAGTAGTAGTAGTAGTAGTAGTAGTAGTAGTAGTAGTAGTAGTAGTAGTAGTAGTAGTAGTAGTAGTAGTAGTAGTAGTAGTAGTACTAGTAGTAGTAGTAGTAGTAGTACAAGTAGTGGTATTTCCAGTATGTAGTCAAACGAGTAAGAATAGTAGAAGTACAAGTAGTAGTCATCGTAGGGGACAGAGTAGTAGTATATGTCTTTTGGAAGCTGCTCGGAGGCCTCTTCGGGCGTCTTCGGCGCCTCTTGGGGCCTCTTGGGGACCTCTTGGGGGTAGCTTTGGGGCCTCATGGAGGCGTCGTGGTGCCTCCTGGGGACCTCTTGTGGGCCATCTGGGCACCTCTTGGGGCCATATGGTGGACCTCTGGGGGCCCTCTTGGGGGGCTTGTATGAGCGCTGCCCCTCCTCCTGGTGTGACTCGTTCGGGCTCCTCGTGGTGTGAGTCGTTCGAGGCCCGCGTCGTGGTGTGAGTCGTTCGGGGTCCTCGTGGTGTGAATGGGTCGGGCGCCTCGTCCTGGTATGAGTCGTTCGGGCTCCTCCTTGTGGTGTGAGTCGTTCGGGCTCTTCGTGGTGTGAGTCGTTCGGGCCCCTCGTCCTGGTGTGAGTCGTTCGGGCTCCTCGTGGGGCCTCTTGGGGGCCTCTTGGGGGCCTCTTGGGGCCTCTTGGGGGCCTCTTGGGGCCTCTTGGGGGCCTCTTGGAGGCCTCTTGGGGCCTCTTGGGGCCTCTTGGGGGCTCTTGGGCCTCTTGGGGGCCTCTTGGGGGCCTGTTGGGAGCCTCTGGGGGCCTCTTGGGGGCCTCTTGGGGGCCTCTTGGAAGCCTCTTGGGAGCCTCCTGGGGGCCTCTTGGATCCTCTTGGGGGCCTCGTGCGACCTCCGCAGAAACGCAAATGAGCGCTACCCCCCGAGAAGGACAAAATGAGGCCAAAACCTTAGTAAAATCAATGATTTTGAGAGAAGGGATGGGGAGCGCTGCCCCCTCAGAAGGCCAAAATGGGGCCGAAACCGTAATACAATCAATGATTTGGGCTTCACAGAAGAGGGGAGGGACTTAAGTGCGTCCCCCCGTCGGGGCCAGAATCCTCGTGAGGGTCGTCGTTTTTTGGCCCTCCCAGGCGTCGAAAAAAAAAACCCTGACCACCCGCGGGGCGCCCTCTCCAGCTCCAGGGGGAGGGGGGAGGGGGAGGGGTAAACCCCTCCCCGAAGGGGAAGAAGGGGGGTTGGGGGGTTGAGGACAGAGAGAGCTCTCTAAACCACTCACGCCCAAAGGGCTGGTGGGATTAGCCCGGCGAAGGATCCAACCACATGTAGTTGTGACTGCCGCAATTATGGGTATCGTATTCGGTGGAGCTCTCTCATTGGGCCACGAAACGCTGCACTGGGTGGGGGAGACGCATGCGAAGTTTGCCACTGGGGCCTTCGGTGGAGCTCCCTATGACGAAACGCTGCATTGGGTGGGGGAGACGCATGCTGACTTTGCCACTCGGGCCTCCAGCGGAGCTCCCGATGGGCCACGAAACGGTGTGCTGGGTAGGGGAGACGCATGCTGACTTTGCCACTGGGGTCTTCGGTGGACCTCCCTATGGGCCACGAAACGTTGTGCTGGGTGGGGGAGACGCATGCGGACTTGGCCACTAGGGCCTTCGGTGGAGCTCCCTATGGGCCACGAAACGTTGTGCTGGGTGGGGGAGACGCATGCGGACTTGGCCACTAGGGCCTTCGGTGGAGCTCCCTATGGGCCACGAAACGTTGTGCTGGGTGGGGGAGACGCATGCGGACTTTGCCATTGGGGCCTTCGGTGGAGCTCCCTATGGGCCACGAAACGTTGTGCTGGGTGGGGGAAACAGTGTGGACTTTGCCAGTGTGGCCTTCGGTGGAGCTCTCTATGGGGCCACGGCTCAGTGGGGCTCCATATGGGGCCACGAAACGCTGTACTGGGTGTGCGGGGCGCATGCGGGTGGTCCTCCTGGGGGCCTCTTGGGGGCCTCTTGGGGACCTCTTGGGGGCCTCTTGGGACCTCCTGGGCGCCTCTTGGAGCCCTCCTGGGGCACTCTTGGGAGCCTCGGGGGGGCATCTTGGGGCCCCTTTTTGGAAGAGATTGATCAGAGGAGGGGGGGTACTCAATCAGGGACCCCCCCCCTCAGGAGGCATATCGGCCCAAAGCCTAAGTCAAATCGCTGGCTTTTGCCTTCTTGCCGAGGCCATCTTGGACCCTCCAATGGGTCGCGAAACCTCCCGTCCAGGTCCAGGGGTTGGGAGTAGGGGGAGGGGCAAACCCATCCCAAAGGAGAAGAAGGGGGTTTCAGGCGATCGCAAACATGGATCAAGGGGGCGTGGATTAGCGACGGGTCCCGTTTTCCATGGGAGATCGCAGATTTCCGCCGTCGAACGAGGCGGCACCAGCCGCATTTCGGGGAGGGCACCTCCCCAAGTCCATGGATTTGGCGACCTCGCGCCACATCCATGGATCGCCAACCCGTGTTTGCGCGCTCCCGAGGGCAGGCAGAGGAAACGCCCCGAACCCGTCACGCCCGGAGGGCTCGCGGGGTCTTGTCGCCAGAGCTGCGCAAACGGAGCTCCGCTCTGGACGCCCGAAATGGGTATTGAAAGAATGGGTCCAATGCCCAACAGCAGTTCCTGTTCATTTTGAACAGGGCTCGCTGTCCACGCCGCCGCGGCCTGTGTCCATTCGAGACAGAAGGCCGCCTGCCCTGTTGGTTTGGGACAACATTTGTTGTTGGGCATTGTACCCATTCTTTCGGTACCCATTTCGGGTGTCCAACTCCGCGAATCACGAACCACTGGCCACATGAGGAGCACGTGTGCCGCTGGAACGGGCACGTCGAGCGCCGCCCAGCAGCTGCGCCATGCCAGTGAGGCCTCCAAGCAGGTCTGGCGGACAGAGCTTCGAGGCAACGGACGTCCGCACGGTTCGCCCAGACCCCTCCAGAATTTCAGGATGACGTCTGTTTCTTCAGGCTTCGGCAGGATTCCGCACGGTTCGTCAGGATTCCTCGGGATTGGTTGGGATGCTTCGGCGTTCCTCACGATTTCTTAGGATGCCCCAGTATGCCGCAGGATCCCGCACGATTCCGCAGGACTTCTCAGGATTCCCGAGGATTATTCAGGGTTCTACTGGATTCCTCCGGACCCAGCACGGTTCCGCACGATTCGTCTGGATTTCTTAGGGTCCTCCACCATTCTTCGGGCTTCCTAAGGGTTCCTCAGGACTCCTCAGCATTCCCCAGGATTTCGCAGGCCACCGACCGCGTGCCACGAGCCGCGATGGACGATTCGCGTGCCGTCAAAGTTGCCTGGGGCCCTGGAGGCCCTCGAAGCTCCTTCGGGCTTCTGGTAGGCTCCTTGACGCTTCGCGCATCCCCACCAGCCCGTTTCTCCCTACCCGTTCGTACTCGAACTGTTGGGAACGCCTTACGCGCCATTTTGGCTGCGCTCTGCTTCCTCGGTGCCTGTGTTCAGACTCCCTGGATGCGCCGTTGCATGTTCCTTTCAGGGGCTGCCCTGCAGACTCCCTGGATCTGCACGCCTTGGCTCAGACGCCCTGGGTCGCTGCTGCCCGCCGCCTGACCGCGGCTTCGCGCGCGCCCGCCGCTAGTCGCGGCCGCAGCCCGCCCGCGACCGCCCGCCGCCGGCGCTTCCGCCTGCGGCTGTAAAAAAAAGCATCCCCACCAGCCCATCCGGCAACGCTGCCCATGCGAGTTGCGTTCCCGCAGGGAAGTGCGGGAGCACGCAGTGGGACAAGGAGGTGGGGGCAGCCGTCAAACAGAGGATCGGGATCTGCCTGGGCAGGCCCAGGAGTCAACGAGAAGTGCCTTCGCCGAACTTTCGACACCGCAGCCTCTGAGCACTACACCTGGACCATCTTGGGTCCCCGTTGGGGCCAACAGGGCCCCAGAGAGCTCAAGGTGATTCTCCAATATTGTTCAAGATAGCGCGAGATCGCGCAACATGCTTCAAGAGGTCCCTCCGTATCCATTCTGGCTCAAACGTTTCTTCCCAGCCAGGAAGTAGGGAATACAAGCATCCGTTGGTTATTACCTTCAGGCCTGGAGCGAATCAGCCCAGATGGTACGCCGCCCAGGTGGGTTGGTCGTGCTCTCCGCCCTGGTCGCCACCGTGGCATCCACGCCCGCGGGCAAGCCGCTGACTCCGGCGCCTGCCCCGACGGCCAGTCCGATCCGCAGCCCGATGCCCAGCCAGATGCCCAGCCTGAGGACAGGCCCGGCGCCCACGTTCCCGACGCCTGCTTCCGATGCGGCCTGCATGTGGGCGAGTATCATCGGCGAGTGTTCGCTTCACGGTCTCTGCGTGCAGAGCCCAAACTACCCACAGAGCTACGGCGTGGATCAGACGTGCACCTTGGAGATCAGTACGGCTTTCTCGGCGCCCCTCGCGGTGGATTTTTTCGGCACCGAGGCGTACTTCGATACGCTCTCTGTCAACGGAGTGCAGCACTCTGGAGCTAGGGGTCCCAGTGGAATGATTCCGACAACGAGTATCTCGTGGGTGTCAGACCACAGTGTGCCTGGCAGTGGTTGGAGGTTGTGCCAGGCTTCGAGTCAGGTTCAGCCGCGGACCTCGGCTTTCACGACGAGCGATGGCCAGTTCCAGCTAGTCTTAGCCACTGAGCAGGTCTCGTGCTGCCAGAATTCTCCAACCAGTAGTGTATCGTCGACCCAATCGGGCGCGGTCCTGTTGTGGCCATGTGTTTACTCTGCAGCGCAAGGTAGTTGGGCTGATAATTGCGGCGGGGGACACACTCGAACATTTCAGGAATGGATTGATGGCTGCTTTGAAAGCACAATGACTGATAGGATTTGCATCGATTCGCAGACTTACGTGTATGTTCAAGTCGCGCCAACCCCGTCCCCTGTGACCCAGGAGTACAGTATGTGGGCAGCTGTCACCGGCTATTGCACGTTGGATGGTTCTTGCGTGGAGAGCCATAATTTCCCTCAGAATTATGGCAATAGTCAGGGGTGCATTTTGGAGATCAGTGCGGAGTTTTCAGCGCCTATCATAGTCGAGAGCTTCAACACGGAGGCGTCTTTCGATTATCTCACTGTCAATGGACAGCTTTACTCTGGAAGTGCTGGACCCAGCGGTATCACGCCGACATCCAGCATCAGCTGGACTTCTGATCACACCATAACACAGAGCGGCTGGAGATTGTGCGCCGCCCCACCGACGCCTGCTCCTCCACCGACGCCAGCTCCAACACCTTTTCCGTGGTCTTGCACTTCGATTCGTGCAAGCACTTTCGTTTACGAGTACCAGTCGTATCATAGTATAGATGATGATTCCATAGTGTTGACAACCGATCAACAATCATCCCATGGGCGGGTCTCTTCGACTCTCGCACTGTCGGGTGCTTTTTTGATTCAGTTCGATATGTACCAGGGTGGTGGAACAGGTGCTGACGGGTGCTGTGTGAAGTACGGTGGTTATGACGATGACAGGTGGGAGGAAGGGTCTGAGGATGGCCTGTCTGTTTGTTTTGATTCCTTCGGGCCGGATCATGGCGTGGGCATTTCGTGGAATGGAGATATTGTATTTGAAGAGGTGGGCGAACAATATTGGGATGAGCAGGTTCCCCTCTTCGAGGATTCCGCTTGGCACAGCGTCATTGTAAAAGTCACGCCGAGGGGAGGTGGTGCGGTGGTCGCGCTGAACTTAGATGAGAGTTACTACTACAAGACCGCCTGGATTAGTAACTATTCGATGCCCATTGGTAGTGGCCAGTTGAGCTTCACTGCAAGAACAGGTGGTCTTACGAATTACCACATAGTCAAAGATGTCCAGGCGTGCGTTTCTTCAACAACGACTTCGTCTTCTGCTACGACTGGGACCAGGACTACCGGGAGCGAAATTCTTTACGCTTCGCGTATCCCCACCAGCCCATCTCACAGCAGCAACTCTTGCGAAGCGTGCCGACAGTCGTGTTTTTCAGGCGTGTGCCCGCTTGGCCCCGCATATCTTCCCTGTTCCTCCTTCCTCCCGCCTCCTTGTACATCCTCCTTGTGGGGGGAGCGGGAGAAGGACGAGGCGGAGGAGGAGGGAGAGAAAGCGCTCCTCGTGATTTGAGTCGTTGGGGGTTTCTCGTCCTGGTGTGAGTCGTTCGGGCCCTTCTTCCTGGTGTGAGTCGTTCGGGCTCTTCGTGGTGTGAGTCGTTCGGGCTCTTCGTCCTGGTGTGAGTCGTTCGGGCTTCTCGTGGTGTGAGTTGTTCGGGCCCCTCATCCTGGTGTGAGTCGTTCGGGCCCCTCCTCCTGGTGTGACTCGTTCGGGCTCCTCGTGGTGTGAGTCGTTCGGGGCCCGCGTCGTGGTGTGAGTCGTTCGGGCTCCTCGTGGTGTGAGTCGTTCGGGCGCCTCGTCCTGGTGTGAGTCGTTCGGGCCCCTCCTTGTGGTGTGAGTCGTTCGGGCTCTTCGTGGTGTGAGTCGTTCGGGCCCCTCGTCCTGGTGTGAGTCGTTCGGGCTCCTCGTGGGGCCTCTTGGGGGCCTCTTGGAGCCTCTTGGGGCCTCTTGGGGGCCTCTTGGGGGTCTCTTGGGGGCCTCTTGGGGGCTTCTTGGGGCCTCTTGGGGCCTCTTGGGGGCCTCTTGGGGGCCTCTTGGGGGCCTCTTGTGGCCTCTTGGGGGCATCTTGGGGGCCTCTTGGAGGTCTCTTGGGAGCCTCCTGGGGGCCTCTTGGGGCCATCTTGGGGCCTCTTGCGACCTTCTCAGAAGCGCAAATGAGCGCTGCCCCCTGAGAAGGACAACTTGAGCCCAAAACCTTCGTAAAATCAATGATTTTGCTATGAAGGAAGATGAGCGGGGCCCCTTCAGAAGGCCAAAATGGGGCCAAAACCATGGTAAAATCAATGATTTTGGCATCACAGAGGAGCAGAGGGGCCAAACTCCCTCCCCCCGTCGGAGCCAGAATCCTCGTGAGGGTCGTCGTTTTTTGGCCCTCCCAGGAGTCGAAAAAGACCCCCCTGACTACGCTCGGCCCGCCCTCTCCAGGTCCAGGGGGAGGGGGTAGGGGGAGGGGTAAACCCCTCCCCGATGGGGAAGAAGGGGGGTTGAGAACAGAGCGGGCTCTCTAAACCACTCACGCCCAAAGGGCTGGTGGGATTCCAACGACCTCGACTTCTGCGACGACTGGGACCAGGACTACCGAGAGCGAAATTCCTACCACGACTGGGACTGCAACCGCTGAGCCCCCTACCATGACTGCCAGTGCGATTGCAGATACCGCCACCACGACTGCGGCACTGGCATCGACTTCACTGACGTCTTCGGTGGCAGCAGGCGACACCGAGCTGCCTGTGGAGTCCACGGTGGGGTTCGACGTCGGCGGCTCCATCGAAATCGAGGGCGGCGGCAACCGCGAGTCGGGGCTCATTGTGAGCATCGGGTCGATCACGCTGGCCAGCGGGTTGGCGAACGGCTACCCCCTCGGCTCTACCGTCACCTACGTCACCCCACCACTACCAGGAACGAGCACCAGCAGCGCGATGGCCACGAGCACTTCTGCACCGCCACCACCAACAGTCACGAGCGCTACCCCCTCATCCAGCACCGCCGCCAGGACGAGCGCTGGGCCCATGATCGATCAGGACCAGATCTCAGATGCATCAACAGTAGTTGTCGTCGGCATCGTTGGCTCCTGCCTGGCCTGCGGCACTATGTGCGCCGTGCTGTGCTGCTTGAGCCGTCGGTTCTTCAGCCGAGGCGGAGATCTAGAAGTGGAGGTTGGACACCCCGATCCGAGCAAAGACGGATTGTCTGAAGTGCAGGTTGAACCGAAGATCGTCGAAGAAGACCTTGAAGCGGAGCTTGGTCATCCGGGTCCGTTCAGCGACGACGATTCTGAAGCGGAGATCGGGCATCCAGGTCTGGATGAGACCGGGGACCAAGTTACCCAGAACGATCTGCGTAAGAGCATGGATTTTTGGTTCATCCCCGTGAGCGAGATCATGCGCATGCCGGTCGACGCTCCCATCCCACGCCATCAGACGTGCCGTGACATGGGATTGTTGGTCAAGCGGAGGATCGACATCGACGACGTCTTGTCTGGAAACCTTTGCGTTGACACAGCGGCCGTGTCACATCGTTGGCCAGTGTCAGAGCATTTCGATCCGCAGTGCACCAAGTTGAGTAAATTGCAAGAGGTCTTGCCACGTACACCGTCCATTAAGTGGCTGTGGATTGACTGGATCTGTGCTCCTCAATGGCACGACGGTGGGCGCACCGATGAGGAGGAGGTTGAATTCAAAATGATTTTAAAACACATTCTTCCATTCATCTTCCTCGGGTGCAAAGTGATCGTCCTGTACGAGCGGATCTACAACCAGCGGTTCTGGCCAAATGTGGAGTGTTGGATTGCCACCAAAATGGCGACACCTCACGGGCTCGTTCCGGCTAGCGACGATCGTCTCCGAGTGCTAGTCCACGGCATACATTCGGCTGGCGGGCACGATAAAGCCAACCTTGCACAGGTACTAGAGTATTGGCACAGGGCCACTGCGCAAGAAGCAATCACGATTCTCTCGCACGACGATATCCTTGTCACCAACGCGAAAGACAAGGAAGTCAATCTCAAGGTGGTTGCGTCTTTGAACGAGCAGATCCGGTGCCATCACAGCTCGTTACACGTCGTTTAGTCCATACGGCAGTTTGTCCCTGCCTGAGGGCAGGAGGAACGGGAGGTGGAGAAGGAGGAGAGGGGGCGGGGTACTAGTTTGGAGGGTGCGTATGGAGTAGAAGGTGCGTTTTCTCAGCTGTTTGCCTGCTTGAGCTTAAGAAGGCCCGAACAGGTGAAGCCGCTAAACTACTTTGAACAACCTCAGAAAACAGCGATTTTGTCTTGGCGGCCCTACTGATCCTCTTGTGGCCCTCTTCGGTCGTCTAGGGAACATCTTGGGCTATCTGTGAGCCATCTCGGGACACCTTTGGCCTTCAGAAGATTCAGATTTCGTGGCATTATACCACACCTAAACGTGCCAGGGGCCACGGTGGCGGATAGAGAAGGGGACGAGGAGGGCGAGGAGGAAGATGGGCAGGAGCAGTGGTCTGCTGATTGATGCAAGGGGAATGACAATGCTTGGCTGCTCTGTGGCGAATGTAGAGGCAGGTGTCTGAAGCATGAGGCCCTTGCACAGCGATGTTGGGCCGCCTTGCCAGCCGCCTCGCCATCCTCGCTGGCGGTATGGTGGTGGGGGCGGTCGTTCTCGCTTCTCCCCGTTCCCTCTCATTGTTCTTTGTCCTCCCTCGTCGTCCTCGTCTTCCTCCACCTCCGTGCTGTGACGCCCCCTGCACTTCTGATGCTCTCGCGCAGAGGCGTCGCGCTCCTGACTGGAGAGCTACTCTGCTCTCGAAGACGCGATGCTCTTGCGTTCATACTCGTCGGCGGCCCCGCAAAATCTGTTATTCGCAGGAGCTACAAAGGGCGGTGCACACCCGCCGCGTTCTGTGCCATCTCGCTCCAGGGCCTCTTCCATGAGAAGGCCTCCTGGTGCTCAGTGCGGCCGCTGTCTTGGCCGTGGTGCTCCAATCCAATACGCGTCCCTCCAGGAATTACCTGGCGCAGACCTCTTTTTTCTCCTACTCCTCCTCCTCCTCCTCCTCCTCCTCCTCCTCCTCCTCCTCCTCCCCCTTCGCTTCTGAACGCTCGGGCACGGTCGGGCGGTTAATCGCTCTCGAGCTCTTCCTCCGGACCAGAGGGCAGTCTTGTGACCTGCTCGGGGGAGACGTCTGGGGATCGGCCCGAGGAGGCCTCTGTAGTCACTCAAGGTTCAAGCAAGCTTTCATGTTCCAGGCAATCTCTCATCAAACTTCCGGCCGAGCGAGATGGCGAGCGCGGCCGCTCGTGTGAGGCAGGACCGGATTCGCAAGCTCCAGACGCCGAGCAGTGCTCGCGCGGTGGGCGGGCTGAAGTCCAAGGCGAGGCTCGCGGTCGTCCAGGAGGAGACCGACGACAGCGACATGTTGGCCAACTGGAGCCAGATCGGGGACCCGTGGGTGGACAACGAGCTGCAACACATCGACTACACGGCCGAGAGTCTCTCCCCGATCGAGTAGGAGCTCTCCTACGAAGAAAACAACCTCATGGACCCGGCGGTGAGCAGCTGGAGGTGCGTGGGCCTGAATCTACTGGCCGTCCTCCAGGTGGTGGTGACGACGCGCTTGCTCAAGCAGCTGGCGCCGGGGGCGAGCAGCATCGTGGATATCGACAAAGACCGCGACAAGGATGCGAACGGCGAGTGCATCCATCTGATCTCGGCGAGGCGCCGGGGCGGCAACCAGTTCGGCACCTTCGTCCACCGCTTCATCTGCATGAAGAGACTCGAGCTACACAAGAGGACCAAGGAGGAGATCCAGACCCAGAGGCTGATCAAGAAGGAGGAGAAGGAGCTGGCACAGCGGATCGAGAAGGAGATGAAGCTCGAGATGTGTGAGCCGAGGAAGTCGAGTCCCCCTCCGATGGCGTGGAAGGCAGAGGGGGTCGATCTCAACAAGCTGCTCGCGCACATGAGGCCTCCAGCGGCCAAGGCGCCGCCCAGGGGCGGCCAGACACTCAGCGGGCTGGCGGCTCGCAAATCGCCTCCGGCGGTCCCGCCGCCGGGCTTGTTCCAGCCGGTCGAGAACATCGAACATCGAGAATATCAAGATCGAGAGCGACGACGACCTCGAGGAGACTTCGATCCAGTCGCAGATCGACGAGCTGAAGCGGGCCATGACCGACCAGCAGAATCAGGGCACCAACGAGCAGCTGGTCGAGCTCACGAGGATGATGGCTTTGCTCGTTCAGAACCAGAGCCAGGCATTGGGCAGCGACAGCCGCTAGGACGCAAGACGGTGAGCTTCGTCGCCGACGGTCCGGACGCTTGGACGAGCGAGACAGCCGAGTGCGCCAGGGAGGGCCTGGCCAAAGTTACTCCTGTCGGAGCCGCCGAGAGCTCCGAGAGCGTACCTGGCTCGCCCTCTCGAAAGCCTGACGCTTTGAAAAATGGGCTCTCCTCTCATTCCTCGCTCTTCCATCTTCTCTCTATCCGATCTTCCCGCTCTTCTCAGATTTTGGCCAGCTTCCCAGGGGGCCTCTCTCCAGACAGCTGGGCCGGTAAGCGCCTTGGCGTCCTGGACGGGGCTCGGGCCAAGAAGGCTCTGTGTCGGGGAGGCCCTGGTGGGGCCCCAGGGGTCCGGGACCTGGAGTCCGGAGGGCGAACTGGTCACTCGCAGAGCTAAGCAATATCGAGCGGGCGTCCTGGGTGGTCGATCTGGCGTTGAAGGCTGGAGGATCGAAGCCATCTTCGGCCGCTCTATCCGGGAAGGTCAGAAGGGTCAGAGTAGAACAGCAGGAGGGTAGCTGCCTTTTCGACGCGCTGTGGGCCTCGACGTCCCTGGAGGAGCTGGCGCAGGCTCTAGCAGGCCATAGTAACGAGAACATCAAGATCACCACATGGGCCCGGCCCGAGCCTCAGGAGGTCTCCGCCTTATTTCATAGGGGCCCTGACCTGGTCCAACAATAATGTGGGCCACCCGCAGATCGCCTTAGCACTTTGTAAGGAACCCTTCGCGCTGCCTCATCCTGCGCGCGCGTGTGCTTGGGGCTTCGCAGCGCGATGAGACGTCTCATGCACGAACGTCGCCCCTCATGCGTCTAGCGTGGATTACGTCGGGCCCTGCCCACGTTTGCTTGTCCCCGTTGGCCCGCTACTGTCTGCCCCCCCTTCGGCCCGCCCCCCTTCGGCCCCCCTGGCGAAGTTTCGCGCCCGAGCCGATCGCTGCTAGTTATAAGGAAAATAAAGAATAATATGTAGGAGGGAGGAAGATAGACAAGGGCGGAGGATGGGGGCAGGGAGGCGGAGGGAGAGGGGATGGGGAGGAGGAGAAAGAGGAAAAGAGAGCAAGAGGGAAGAGGATGAGAGAGGGCGAGGGAGAAGCAAGAACGATCAACGCGCATCTTCACCAGCCCGCCCAGAAGCGATGCCCAGGCGAGTTGCCTTGACCAGGGGGGGGGGAAACGCGCAGTGTCGTCGTCGTCATCGCCGCCGTTGGCCATAGGCCGACGACGGCGATAACGACGACGACCGACGACCGACGACAACAACGACGACGACGACGGCGGCGAGACGACGACGACGACGCGACGACGACGACGACGACGACGACGACAGACGGGCGACCGACGACGACGACGACGGACGACCGACGACGACAACGACGACAGACGACCGACGACGACCGACGACCGACGACCGACGACCAAACGTCCGACGATCGACGACTGACAACCGACGACCGACGACCGACGACGACGGACGACGACGACGACCAACGACCGACGACGACGACGAACGACCGAGGACCGATGACCGACGACGACTACGACGATGACGGCGACGCAAACGACGGACGACGATGACGACGACCGTCGACCGTCGACCGACGACCGACGACCGATGACGACGACGATGACGACGGCGACGGCGACGACGACGACGAAGACGACAACCGACGACCGACGACGGACAACCGACGACGAGGACGACGACGACGACGTTGACCACGGCGACGACCTCGACGGACGACGGCGACGACGGTGGCGGTGACGACGACGACGGACAACGGAAGACGGTCGTCGGACGACGGACGATGGAAAACGGACGACGACGACACTGCGCGTTTCCCCATTCCCTCGGCTTCGGCCTACGTGATGGTGGCGTCACGACCTGCCGATCTGGTTCAAGCCAATTTGAGGGAGCATGCACGACGAGCCGACCTCGCCGCTCGCGCAGCCCTGCAGCCCCGTTCCAGCGCCGACCTCGCCGATGGCGCGCCGCCATCGCTCGGACGAGTCCAGGCGCAGGGAGGAGAGGCTGTCGCGGGCGCTTAGCACGCGCGGCCTGGACAGCCGCGGCCCCCCGCCGACGACGAGGTCGTCGAGCCGCCGCGCCCGCGCCGCGGCGCCCATGGCCCCGCCGAGGCGTGGTGGCAGCGGCGACTACGACGAGCGCAGGCGCGGCCGCGACCCAGCCAAGGGCAGCGATCGCGGCCGTGCGCGCGCAGCCTCCGCGGACGACGAGGACTTCGTCAACGGGCTGTTCGACGATGCGCATTCGGACGACCCGCGGGCGAGCTCAGGCTGCAATTGCGGCGATGATGGCAACGGCGGCGACGGCGGTGACAACGACGACGGCGGTGTCGGCGGCAACGGCAACGGCGACGACCGCGGCGACGGCGACGACGACGACGACGACGACGACGGCCACGGTCACGACGTCGACGGCGACGACGACGACGGCGGCGACGACGACCTCCGAGAGGCACTGAGCGCGAGCGCTACACCGACGACGAGCCCGACGAGACGCCCGTGAAGCCGACCAGGAAGCAGAAGGCGCAGCCCGCGCAGCCGCCGCGCCAGCTCCGCAGGACGGCGGGCGGCGGCTGCGGGGTGGGATGACGACGAGGGTTAGGCGCCTCAGCCTGCCTCAGCATCAGCCTGCCTCAGCCTCAGCCTCAGCCTCAGCCTCAGCCTCAGCCTCAGCCTCAGCCTGCTTCAGCCTGAGCCTCAGTCTGCCATCAGCCTCAGCCTCAGCCTCAGCCTGCCTCAGCCTCAGCCTGCATCAGCCTCAGCCTCAGCCTCAGCCTGCCTCAGCATCAGCCTGCCTCAGCCTCAGCCTCAGCCTGCCTGGATAATGTGTAGGACGAGGAGAGTGTGGATGAAGATCAGTGGGTGTGGGAGAGGGGGCGGGGGATGGGGGGGGGAGGAGGATGGGGGGGAGATGCGGAGGGGGTGGAGGGGACGCGGGGTGCGGGGCATGATGATCAGGGGGACGAGGAGCGTTGGATGACGATGTGGACGGGAAGGATGGCCGTGAGGGGGTGATGATGAGGAAGGTGAGGAGGGGTCAGGTTAAGACGATGAGGAGAATGGCGTTGGGACGGGCGCGGAGGAAGGCGGATCCATTCCCCCCTCCTCCCGCCCCTTGCCAGGGCGACATCTGAGGAGAAGTGGTTCTCGAGCTGCTACAGGGCGCTGGGCGACGCCAGCGGCTTGAAGCGGCCCCGGCACCTCAAGATATTAGAGGTGATCGACAGCCGCTACCTAGCGGCGCCGTTGCTGTCCGACGCGAGCGACAGCCACTTGGCCAGGCTGGCCCCGATGAGACGGAGGAGGAAACGGAGGGGGAGGAAGAGGAGGAGGAGGAGGAGGAGGAGGAGGAGGAGGACGACCACGACGACGATGAGGATGAGGGACGCGGATGCGACGACGACGATGCTGAGGACGATGACGATGGCGGCGGGGGGGATGAAGGCGAGGATGAGGATGATGACGATGATGACGATGACCGCGACGGTTATGATTCGGATGATGACGATAATGACTGCGATAACGACGACGATGACGACGACGAGGACGACGGCGATGAGGATGGTGAGTGTAATGGTGGTGACGATAAGGATGAGGATGATGGCGAGGAGCTCCTAGGGTGACGAGGGGGGTGAGGATGACGACGATGACGGCGACGATGACGACGACGATGAGGATGATGATGACGAGGGTGATGAGGATGGCGACGGCGATGGCGATGAGGATACTGACGACGCTGGCGAGGATGATGATGCGGATGATGACGATGGCGACAACGATGACGACGACGATGAGGATCAGGATGATGAGGATACGGGCGAAGGTGAGGAGGATGATGAGGATGATGAGGATGATGAGGATGAGGATGATGAGGATGCTGATGGCGAGGGTGATGATGGTGAGGGTGACGACGACGATGGCAACTACGATGAGGAGGATGAGGACGATGACGAAGAGGTTGTCGGCAGGGTGAGGCGGCGGAGGATGAGGAGACTAGGCTGCTGTTCGTCCTGGCGGGCAAAGGCCCGAACACGCGGTTGGCCTCGTTCGTCACAAAGACGAAGAAGGCCTTCCGCGAGCAGATGAAGGAACTGCACACGCTCATGATCGAGCGTAAGATGACCAAGCCGCCCCGTGAGCTCGACATCGCGAACGAGGAGGCGATCGAGGCGAGATGCGCAACCCTCCTCTTCCTCCTCGCCCTCGTCCACCCCCCTACACCGACGCCCACCCCTCCCCAGTGGAGGGCGCGGGGGTGAGATGAGGGGAATATGAGTGGCGGACAGGATGGTGAAGGCTATCAGGACGGGTGGGAAGCTGAGGAAAGGGGAACATGATGACGAGCGAGGTGAGGACGAGGACGAGGAGGATGAGGACGAGGAGGAGGAGGATGGGGGACGAGGAGGAGGAGGAGGAGGATGAAGGCGAGGAGGAGGAGGAGGAGGAGGAGGAGGAGGAGGAGGAGGAGGAGGGAGGTGAGGGACGAAGAGGAGGATGAATGAGGATGAGGATGGCAATGAGGAGGGCGATGACGAGGACAAGGATGACGACCCCCGAGCCTGCATCCCCCGCCGCCGCCCCTCAGGCGCTCGCGAAGGAGAAGGGCTGGAAGGACGAGTGGATGTGGACTGGCAAGCAGCAGGACATGGCTGCATCCATGAGCGCCGTCGCGCAGAAGCAGCGGGAGGATTTGCAGAAGATGATCGCGAACGCGCTGAGCGGGGCCAAGAAGCAGGATGAGGGGCTGGACAAGCCGTCGAAGGTGCGGAGTCGTCGTCGTCGACGTCGTCGTCCTCGTCGTCGTCGTCGTGACGACGACGACTCGTCGTCGTCACGACGACGACGCCGTCGTGACGACGACGATGACGACGACGACTCGTCGTCGTCGTCCTCGTCGTCGTCGTCGTGACGACGACGACTCGTCGTCGTCGCGACGACGACGACACCGTCGTGACGACGACGATGGCGACGAC